ATGGCTTGTTAGAAAACAGAAAGCGAGAAGAGCTTCATGTAATGAACACCTGGAGAAGAGGGTATCAAAAAGAAAGAGACAGCTACAGAAAGGTCAAAGAGAAAAGGATCAAGACAACTATCAAAAATGACAAGAAAAGCACTGAGTATACTAAAAATTCTGCATCCATAGAGTGGTCATGATGACAAAGAAACCAGCATCCCATCAAGCCTGAGAGATGGGCTGGGAGAAAAGTGTTTTTAAACTGTGAACTGTGGGAAAGCCATGAACTAAGCATGAACTTAGCCTCCGCTATGATCTTAGAGTTCCATCACATGGCTCCATTTTAATTGTGAAGCACTTAGCACAACACCTGGCAATATTATGTGACCTACAGTATTCCTAAACTCCTTAAATAATAGGTCATGTGGTAACAGAGTCTCTACTTCATTAACTATTGAAATGGATAGATTTCTTATCTGTGAATCACTTATTTGCCCAAGAGATTTCTGTCTTTCAGTTTAAACACATTCAGCATTTCACATGACTGTTTATCCCAAGATAGAATGATGTCAGCATTCTGGGAAAAAGAGCAGTTAGAAAAAGGTTTTAAATGGTTGCATCGTTACAAGATTTTACTGAAATTGGGCACATTTTACATTTATATGGGTTACAGAGATTGCTTTGAAAATTGACTTAACCCTTACAAAGTCTTACTGCTTTTAACTTATAAACAGTCCACGTACATACAACTGTGTTACTGAAGAGATAGTGATTTGTGTAATAACTGCCCTTTGACCCCCAGTACAATAGAACCGGGAAATGAATTCCTGAGTAGCACTTTCCAGGCTTGTTGTATTTTCTTTTCTGTGCTTTGCACTCTGCAAGTTTTTTTTTAAATGTGCCCAGTATAAGTATGTTTTTGTGGAGGGAGACACATCAATAAGGGTACCTGATCTCAAACCAGGTAAAGTGGGGACCAAAGGGAGGTTCAAACTTTACCTATATGAAGACCACTTGTACACCTAATCCTGAATTGTACCCCACATCTTTAAAATAAACTTTTAAAATGTTTAAAAATACGTTAAAAATTATGTTTTTGTTAATAAACATGCACTATTGTTTTAATACATTATATACACTATAAGATACATTAAAATAGAAAAAAATTTAATGAGATAAAAATATATCTACAAAAAAAAATTCTAGTCTTGCTCCCTGGAACCTCCAGACTATGTGAACCCCAGCTGGAAGAACCATTTCCAGAACAGTGAGTTGTCAAACTACAGCATGAGTCAAACCACCTGGGACGCTTGGTAAAGTGAAGATTCCAGGTAGTGGAAGATGGGTCCAGAGGCTCGACACAGAGCGTGGGGGTCTGCACTGTCAGCAGTCACTGCGGATGGCTCTGGAGCAGACTGTGAAGCCCCACACTTCCAAGCACCACAAGACAAGGCAGAGATGCACTCTCCCCACCAGCGCCCAGCCCCAGTGAGGGTGACAGAGCAATGCTCTGACATCACATGTGTCATCATCCAGGAAGTTGGCATTTCGGAGGGAGTGTCAGAACTACCAGGTAAAACATTCATTCTATCGGAAAATATGTTCTGTTTTCTGCAATGCTACCCCGTGAAGAAGCGTTTTGCCATACAAACACACACACATAATCTATTACACAGCAGAATTCCTCCATTGAAATAAGATGACTTTTCTTTTAAAATCTAAACTTCTTTTTTTTTTTTAAGTCAGACTTACTTTGTTGCCCAGGCTGGAGTGCAGTGGCACACTCATGGCCACCGCAGCCTCAAACTACTGAGCTCAGGCGATCCTTCTGCCTCAGCCTTCCAAGCAGCTGGAACTACAGGCATGCACCACCATGCCCGGCTAATTTTTTTATTTATTGTAGACACGTGGTCTTGCCAAGTTGCCCAGGCTGGTCTCAAACCCTTGAGTTCAGGCAATCCTCTCGCCTATGCCTCCCAAAGTCCTGAAATGACAGGCGTGAGCCACTGTGCCTGGCCAAAAGTCTAAATGTCTAAAGTGTAAAACTTTAGGAGGTATACATGTGAACTGTTAAATCCCCTGGCAATTTAAGAAATCCATTTGAGTCAATAACCTCATATCTAGACAGAGTATCTGTCACAGGCCAGGCACCAAAGGAGGCCATCTGGCATGACAGGACACAACTCTTGTAGTTGGAGGAGACTGGGTTGGATTCCTGACTCTGGTGTTCATCTGATTTTGAACAAGTTGCTTGACCCTACTGGGTCCCAGTTTCCATGTCTCTAAAATGGGCAGCAAATACCGACTTACAAAGGCTCTGTGAGAAATAAATGAGATACATGCAATGCAGCAAGGGATAGCAACAAAAATAACAATAACATAGCTACCGCACTTTAGTAGTAACTGTTTAGAAACACAAATATTTGGCATTTTCCTCATTAAAAATTAATTTCCTATATTTCAAGGGCCAAATTCCAACACCACTCTTTACTTGCCTGGGCAAATTACTTCACTTTTCTCAGCCTGTTTCCTCGTAGATAGAATAGGAATAATAGTAATAACGTATCTAGCTTGTATTTTATGAAGATAAAAATGAAGAATCTGTCCAGGTGCAGAGTTCATAGCTATAATCCCAGCATTTTAGGAGGCCAAGGTGGGAGGACAGCTTGAAGTCAGGAGTTTTGAGACCAGCCTGAGCAACATACCAAAACTCTATCTTTAAAACAAATTTTTAAAATTAGCTGGGAGTAGTGGTGCACCTGTAATCTCAGTTACTCAGGAGGCTGAAGTGGGAGAATTGCCTGAATCCAGAAGTTCAAGGCTGCAATGAATGAGCTGTGATCGTGCCACTGCATTCCAGCCTGAGTAACAGAGCAAGATCCTCCTGTCTCAAAAGAAGAAATGAAGAATCGCCTAAAATGCTTAACCAGTGACTTGTACTCAGCAAGCACTACGTAATTTTTATTCATTTTTGTCATTTAACTATGAAATTATTCTCAGCCTGGCACAGTGACTCACACCTGTAATCCAGCACTTTGGGAAGCCAAGGCGGGAGGATTGTTCGAAGCCAGGAGTTCAAAAGCAGCCTGGGCAACATATTGAGACCTCATCTCTTAAAAAAATTAACAAAGCCGGGCTTGGTGGCTCAGCCTGTAATCCCGTGCCTTTGGGAGGCTGAGGTGAGTGGATTGTCTGAGCCTGCGGGTTCGAGACCCACCTGGGCAGCGAGATCTCATCTCTACAATAAATAAAAAAAAAAATCAGCCGGGCGTGGTAGCGCATGCCTGTAATTCCGGCTACTTGAAAGGCTGAGGCAGAAGGATCGCCAGAGCCCAGCAGGTCGAGGCTGCGGTGGCCGGGAGCGGCCACTGCACTCCAGTCTGGGTGACAGAGTGAGACTCCAATGCAAAAAAAAAAAAAATTAATAACAATAATTAGCTGGGAAAGATGATGCATGCTTGTAATCCCAATTACTTGGGAGGCTGAGGCAGAAGGATCACTTGAGCCCAGGATGTTGAGGCTGTGGTGAGATAAAATCATGTCACTGCACTCCAGCCTAGCCAACAGAGTGAGACTCTGACTCAAAAAAAAAAAAGAAAGAAAGAAAGAAATTATCTTCAAGCCATATTTGCTCTTCCAACTATTATATGATTTGACTAAGAGAACTATACATGTCACTTACAACTAGATCTACAAATATTCCTAAATTTTCTCTATACTAAGTAGGTACTTTATTCTGCTTCAAAACTTTCTGGGTCTCTGTTTAACCAACAGTAGATAAAGTTTTAGGGCAATGTTACTGCCTGAGACGTGAGTCACTAAATGCTACATTGGTACTTCCTGCAGTTCCTCAAAAAATCTTAAGCCAAGACCTTAAACAAAATTAAATTTTTCCCACTAATAATTGTTGCCATATCCACCCAGGTGGTCTGCTTAAGGATAAATAAAACATCAGACTTATAAACTACCTTAGGCTACACATGGGATCCTAGAAAGATAGGGGACAAAAACACCCTACACCAGCCTGTGAAGGGCATTCTCCCCTCAGTGGAAAGTCTTGTAGCCATTTACTTGCTATCCAGAAGCTAATGTCTTTATCCTCTCTCCAACCCTCCATCCCCTGAGAAAGCTCAGCAAAAATGTGGAACCAATTCTACTGCCTATTGAAAGTAGACTGGATAAAGAAAAAGTGGTATACATACACGATGGAATATTATGCAGTCATAAAGAAGGACAAAATCATGGACTTTGCAGCAATTAGATGGAGCTGAAGATCATCATACTTAGTGATCTATCACAGAAACAAAGAACTGAATACCACATGTTCTCTCTCATAAATGGGACCTGAACATTAATCATAACAGCACAAGAGAAGGGCAGGTAGTCATGGAACACTACCATGATTGGGAGGAAAGGGGGGGCACAAAACAACACAGAGTGTACCTGGTCCTAAACCAGGGGGAGTGAGGACCAGTTGGAGGCCCAAACTTCACCTGCATGTAGATTACTCATGTACCTAATCCTGACTTGTACTCCACATCTTTATAATAAGATAAAGTAAAAATAAAATAAAATGAAATGAAAAGATGAGATTCATATTGGGCAGGTTTTCTCACAAGAGTCAATATCTCTTGCAACCACCACAAAGGCACAGGTGCTAGGGTCCCTGCAATGCTAATCTAATGTCACTACACCCAGCGAAGCCCTAAGATATGGCTTTAGACGAGATATTTCTAGTCCTCCTGGTCCACATGCATTTACCAACCAGAGGCCACTTCAACCATGAGCAACGTTGCCTTGTAACAGAGTTGACACTCTATTTTTATCTAGTTTCCATGGAAGCAAAGCTATAAGGTTAACCAAAGAGTCAAATTTTCAGAGAAAATGGAAAAGGTTGGTGACTCCTTACCCTTAAGTGTGTGCCTTAAAATATGAGCCTCTACAGTAGTCTTCAAAACAGGAAAGAGGAAAAAAGAGAAGAAAAAACTGAGAAGGACAGCTTTTAACAATACACTTACCATCACTGGCTACGCCATCTGCTAGAAATATGTAGTAGCTTGTGTTTAGATCAAATCTATTCTTAACCCCAGGAAGGGTAATGTTTCTTCTGAAAGAACACTGCATAACATCATCCGCCAGCCTCCAAGCCACGTCCTCAAGAGTACCCTATAAACACACAATGGTCGTCTTAGCACTTCCCAAAGATCGGCTAAAAATAAGATGTGATCAAACCCCTGCCCTGTTCAATTTCCTTTCCCCAAGATCATATGTGCACACATTGTCTGCAGTGCCATTGTGTTTCCACTTCCTCCTTGAAGAGTACAAGAAACGTTTTCTCTCAGTTTATTTGTCTTTATCCCATTTGGCAAAAAATTATTTTTGACATGAGCCAGAAGCCCAGGATTCCTCTACCAGGTTAGAAAATTTAGCAGATGTACTAACTCCATGTGGCCACCAGTATTCAACCCAAAACTCTGAGAAAGCAATTAACAAGAAGTACCCTAGTGACCAGAAGGCAGCCTGCAACTTGGGAGAACGAGTCAGCAGTGGGGTCAGCCCCCAGAAGGCCATGCACAGTGATGTCATTGCGTGATGGCTGCGACTCGGTCACAGCTCATCTGCTATGTCATTAAGTGACAGCTACTGGCCCTTCAAGGCTCATCTGCTTGTCAATTGCCCTGTGAAAAAGACACATCTTTACCAGAAATAGCTCACCTATGGCACTGATATCAGCAAAAGGAACTTAAGACAACTTCCATCTTACTAGTCAAGAAATCCTGTCATTAGCATAGCCTCTTCTTTTTTTTTTTTTCCTTTGATTCGGGATCTGTCACCCAGTTTACCCACTCTGGAATGCAGTGGTACAATCAAGGCTCACTGCAGCCTTGACCTCCTGGGCTCAGCTGATCCTCCCACCTCAGCCTCCCAGGTCACTGAAACTACAAGCACCTACCACCACACCCAACTAATTGTTTTTATTTTTTGTAGAAACTAGGTCTTACTATATTGCCTAGGCCAGTCTCAAACCCCTGGGGCCAAACAATCCCCCTTCCTCAGTCTCCCAAAGTGTTGGGATTATAGGCGTGAGCCACTGCGCCTCACCAAGCCTCTTCTTAAAAACCTGTCTGTAAGCTTTTGAAAGGGGGCTGATGCTCTTGACAAACCATAAAATACTTTTTTGTAAGGTGCAACCAAAAGGATTTAAGTGACACAAGCAAGAATTCATCTTTTCCTAGGAGAAAAACTTGTCTTGTGCTTTCTAAAGTATGGAAAACTTTCTCTGAGGTCATTACAAGAAGAGCCCAGCTGCCAGGCCCCCACTCAGGCGAGGTTGTGTCTGTGGGTGGAGGCTGCCTTGCAGCAGGCCATGGCAAGGCAGCCATGTAGCCAGAAACAGGATCAGCCAGGTGGAAGCTCCAGAGTTTTCATACCCACCCTGGAGTCCATCACCGGATGACTTCGTCCCATCAGATGGGAAGGCTGTATGCGCACAGTCTGGTCTTCATGAATACACAGATAAGCGTCATCATCACCCTGAAAAACAATTGCAAATGAAAGACATTCAAGTGAATTTCATCATTTTGTGTTTTATTAAAGACCTTCAGGAAATCACGTATTATTTGATACTTTTAAAATATAATTTACTGACTCAGTCTTAAATAATACTATAAATTCTAGAGATTGGCTGTCTAGTTTGTTAATTTAAAATAATTTTGTTATAATACAAAAGCACTGAAATGTCAGTGTAAAACAATAAATGAAAATAGGCGTATAACATGCTTATGTGTTCAAAAACCTGTCACCAGTTGAATACTGCTGTAATGCTTTTATGTATATTCATTCAAACCTATTTGTATTTAAACCCATTTTGCTTTCCCAAATAAGAAAATATATAGTTATGTTACCTTTTTTCAATTAACTAACCATGAACATTATTTGAGATATTTATTTGTTAATAAATGTCTACATCCTACATATTTTAATGACTGTGAATACACTGCATTGTACTGGATGTTTCTTGGTAACTTTTAAGATGGAAGACACTAGGCCAGGCACAGTGGTTTCTGCCTGTAATCCCAGTACTTTAGGAGGCCAAGGAGGGAGAATTGCTTGAACTCAGGAGTCTGAGACCAGCCCAGTCATTACTGCAACCTTGTCTTTACAAAAAATTAAAATAAAATAAAATAAATTAGCCAAGTGTAGTTGTACACTCCTATAGTCCCAGCAACTTGGGAAGTTGAGGCAGGAGGATCACCAGAGCTCAGAAGGTCCAGGCTGGGGTGAGCCGTGATCATGCCACACTCCAGCCTGGGCAAGAGGTGGGACTCTGACTCAAAAAAAAAAAAAGATGGAAGACGCTGAAATCAAATATTGTACACACTCAATAGACTTAATGCTATATAACTGAGACAAAAATATCTGTGCTCAAGAAAGAATTTTTTTGTCAGGCAGTCTACTTCTTATCTATCATTTAGTCTCTAACAGTATTCCTTAATTCTGAAAGTTAGATCTTATTCTTTAAAGTGATAATCAGAGCACAGACTGTAACTTCAAAGTACGTTTAAGTGATGGTACATGTGAGTAATCCTGACTTTAAGTTACTGTCTATAATTTTGTCTTTAATTTATTTTCTCTATAAACTAACAAGGTTCTTTATGTGCCTTAGTCACTAAACTCCTTAAACAAGTTCCAAGACTACTCTGTTAAAATAAATTTTTCTATAAATTCCAATATTTAATTCTAACATTTTTCTATACTTTCAAACTCAAATTTGTTTTAAAATGTTCAACTTTTGAAAACTCTCAAGGACATACTCTTAACAAAGCAATTATTCATTGTTATACATCATATAGTCAAATCAGAATTAGCCCAATTCAAGATTTTAAGAAATTGGAGTAGTCAAGATTTAAGCCAAGAGTTAACAAACTACAGCATAAACACCAAACTCAACCCGAAGCTTGTTTCTATATAGCTCATAGGTTAAGAAGAGCTTCTACATACTTAAATGACTTAAGAAATTAAAAGAAGAGTATTTCATGACAAATGAAAATACATCAAACTCACATTCAGCTATAGCTTTTTTTTGTTTTATTGGAACACAACAACAGAACTGAGTAGTTGCAACAGAGAACATATGGCCCACAAGCTCTTACATATTAACTACTGGTCCTTTATAGAAAAAGTGTGCTGAACTCTGATTTAAACAATGCATGTTTTCTAGAATGTCTGTCATCAGCGAGGCATAGGAATTCTTCTGTTATATAAAAAAATGTCTAATACTACAAAATGTTGGTGTATTCCCTGTTGGTGAGAATGCAAGCTAGTTAAACCCCTGTGGAATGCAGTTTGGAGATTTCTCAAGGAACTGAAACTAGCCTGACCACTCGACCCAGCAATCCCAGTACTGGGTGCACACCCATAGGAGCACAACTCACTCTACCAAAAAGATATCGGCACACGCATGTTTGTTGCAGCATTAACCACAACAGCAAAAACACGGAACCAACCTAGGTGCCCATCAATGGTAGACTGAATAAGGAAAATGTGGTAATGCATACATCATGGAAAACTACACAGCCATAAAAAAGAACAAAATCATGTCCTTTGCAGAAACATGGATGCAACTAGAGACCATCATCCTGAGCGAACTATCACAGAAACAGAAACTGAATGTCATATTTTCTCCCTTATAAGTGAGAGCTGACTACTGTATGCTCACAGGCACAAGGATAGGAGCAACAGACACTCAGGGATTCCTATGAGGGAGAGGAAGGGAGGGGATAAGGACTGAAAATCACCCCTGAGTACCATGTCCACCATCTGGGTGACTGGCTCAGTAGAAGCCCATGCCTCACCACCACACAATATTCCTATGTACCCCCAAATCAAAATAGAAAATACAAATTTAAAAAAGAATGTGCAATGACAAAAAAAAAATTTTAAGACAGCAAAACGGATGATTTTTGAGGCAAACTGATGGTAAGTGGACTATAATACTAAATGAATATAGGCAGACCTCCCGATATTGGAAAAGATGTTGGGGCCAGAGAACAGGTGACTGACTCTCAGTGCTCACTATTCCAAATGAAAAGTGCTGTGGCAACCTTAGGCTCCAGGCAGCTCTAGAAACCCCAGGTTTGGAACAGAGGAGCATACAATATAAGAAATTCTAGTCTGGCATAGTGGCTCACACCTATAATCCCAACGCTTTGGGAGGCTGAGACAAGAGGATTGCCTGAGCCCGGAGATTTAAGACCAGCCTGGACAACATGGCAAGACCTTGTCTCTTAAAAGAGGGAAAAAAAAGAACTGCTGCCAAAACCCTGGTCGTACAGAAGCTCTCTCCCCAGCTCGCCCTTCTCAAGTCAAGCATCAAGTATGCACCCTATGAGAAAATGCTATGCTGGATACCATGGAAGAAACAAAGATAACTAGGATATAGTTCTCCCAGGGAACAGCTGTGTTCTAAAGGAAGAGACAGACAGTTCTAACAGTACATCAAATATGATAAAATGAAGATTTAGGCAAAGTGTCATGAAAAGATAAGTTATGTATGGCCAGAGAATTGGAAACAGCTTATCAGAAAAGATAGTACTTAAGTAGAACTTAGAGAATAAAACATATTTGCAGAAGGATAAGGTAGAGTTGAGGAAAGACTTTCCAAGTTGAGGAACTTCCAGGACCAAGATACAGAAATATATATGTGAAAATTTTAGAAAACAGGCAGTTTTATTAGGTAAAATATAAAAAGAATAAAAGAGACCTCTAAGGCCTGAAATTCCAAGAAGTACCGCCAAGACTTTGAAGAGTAGTAAGAGCCATGCTAAAGAAAATATAACCAATTTTCCACGATGTTCTCAGTTTCATCTTCTGCTTCACACAGAAGTTAGCTGATCCCTTTGTGGTACCAGGGGCAGTGAGGGCTACCTAGAAGCCCAGAAATCACCTGCATATAGCCCACTTATGTAGCAAATCCTCACTTGTACTCTACAACTGTATAATTAATAAATGAATAATTTTTTAAAGAAAAGGAACAATTTTTCTATAGTTACTAACAGTTCACCAAAGGTTTGGGGGATATTTTTGAGATGATACTAATTGTGGATTAGAAAGAAAATTCCAGTGACTGTTGAAGGATGAAATGGAAAGGGAATCAGAGAGACAAGAAGACTGATAAGGGGTTGTTATGGCAGTCCAGGAAGGAGACTAGACAGGTGCAAGTCACGTGAGAGACTGTGACAACAAACCAAACAAAAGAGGTGTGTCAAAACAGAATCAACTGTAATGTTGGGTACATGTCATATTTTGTCCAAACCCATAGGAAATACAGCATCAAGAGTGAGCCCTAAACTACAGACTTTGGGTGATAATGATGTGTCATTGTAGGATCATATTTCATAACAATGCATCATTCTGGCAGGGGTTGTTGATGGAGAATGCTCAGCATGTGTGAGGACAGGGGACATATGGAAATCTCTGTACCTTCCTCTCAATTTTGCTAGGAACCTAAAACTGCTCTAAAAATACAAAGCCTTACAAAAAAATCCAGGTCCTATTACGGTAAGATAGTTAAAAAATGGTGAAGATGGTTAATTTTGTGTTATGTATATTTTACCACAATAAAAAAAAACAAACCAGAAGCCAAAGAATCCAAGAGTTTAGTAGCCATGATCACGTTAACATCCACTTCTGCATTTCTTTTCTTTTTTTCTCTCTTATTTTTTATTTTAAAGATGTGGGGTACAATTCAGGGTTAGGCACATATGTGATCATTGTTCAGGTAAAGTGTGGGTACCCTTATTGATGTTATGTGTCCCCCTCCTCCCCTGGCAGCGTCCCACTACTGCCGATCCCTTTCTTATAGTATTATTATAAACACATCTGGGTTTCTAAATGTCATTTCTACTAACGGGAAGTAAAGCTCCTTTGAGAAATGATGAGATGCATGAAAGTGTGAGAAGACAATATCTTATTACACACAAAACAATGATATGCCCAAAAGATGATGGAGACACATCAAAAGATAAAAGAAGCCTGCCTGAAGGGCTCCTGCTGGCCACCCTTGGGTCACCATGACCATCTAAAAAAGAGTGAATGTGGGCAATAAACTAAACACAATGGACAAAAGGAACCCATTAGTCCACAATATTACTCCAAAAGGGAAGGGAGAGCAGAGAAAAGAAAACTCTTATTTTCAGAAGAATATCAGCTAATAAACAAGTTAGAAAACCACCATTTTGCAACCACCAATGTGGCCATTGTTTCAGAGAAGGAACAGCAATGAATGCTAAAAATCATTTGGTAACAGGTTACTGGGGAACTGAATATTCATACAGATGCAAAGTATCATCCCACGTATTACTTATTCATCACAAAGGGAAAATATACTTTCACCATGGAGAAATCTGAGAGCCACCAGTGACCAAACATAGCATCGTCAATAATGAAACATTCCAGTATCATGAAACTTTTGAAATGAGGCACTGATGTGGAAACAAAACCCTTTAAGCAGTATTTGTGCCAAAAATCTTCACATAAATCTATTGCATGAACTGTAGAACATTCTATAAAATAACTGACTTTAAAATATCGGGACAGGCCGGCCAGGTGGCTCAGCCTGTAATTCCAGTATTTGGGAGGCCAAGGCAGTGGGGATTGCCTGAGTCCGTGGATAGAGACCAGCCCAGGCAACTTGGCAAGACCTCAGCTCCTCAATAAATCAAAAATTATGCAGGTGTGGTAGTATGCACCTGTAGTTCTGACTACTTGGAAGGCTGAGGTGGAAGGATCGCCAGAGCCTCACAAGTCAACATTGGGGTGGCCATGAGTGTGCCACTGCACTCCAGCCTAGGCAACAGAATGAGACTCCTACTCAAAAAAAAAAGTCAGGACAAAGGACAGGATAACAGTTCTAAAGTAAAGGAATCAAAGATATATAACAACTAAATGCAGAGAGAGATAACTGATTGGATCATGCATCAGAAACTTTAAAGTTATAAAGGACTTTATTAGAATAATTAGAGAAATTCGAATATAGACTGTATATTACATAAAATTATTATATCATTGTAAAATTTTCTCAATGTGATAAAGATATTGTGGCAATTGTAGGAGAATGTCCTGTATATTACATAAAATTATTATATCATTATAAAATTTTCTCAATGTGATAAAGATATTATGGCAATTGTAGGAGAATGTCCTTGTTCTCAGGAGACATGTGTTGTAAACCTCAGGGATGAAATGTCATGATATCTACAACTTCCAGATAGCTCAGGAAAAAATATATACTTATACATACCATATAAATCAATTGAAATAGATAAATAGAGAGTCAGAGAGAGAAAGAAAGTGGCCAGTCTAGGTGAGGGGTTTATGACTGCTCATTCTTTCAACTTTTATGTAGGTTTAAAACTTTTCAAAACAAAAGTTGGAAGTTTGGGATCTGAGAGATGAATGAAAGTCAAAACCAAAATTTCTCTGAATACCAAAGAAGATGTGACAGCAACAGATGAGGTGTTCTATCAGAGTCAGTTCCTGACAAGAAGCAAGTAATCAATAGCAGTAGCTGCATGTCTAACACCGTTGCTGATCACCAAGAATGGGGAACACAAGGAGACATTAGGAAGGAAGACAAGTTCAATTTACAGATGTTAACTTGGAACACATGTCTGGACAAGACCTGCCAGAACCTAGAAATCAAACCTGGAGTCCAAGAGGGGTCAGGACCAGGAATACCCTATAACTTAGGCATTGAGAGATCATGTATGGAACAGGATGGTTCAGGACAGGGGACAGAGAAGAACGGGAGCTAGTACCATGCACACCTGGTAACAAAATGCCTCAGATGGGAAAGGTGGATATACAGGAAGTTCTCATTTAAAGTTGTAGCCATATTCTCAGAAACTGTGATTTTCAGCAAAACAGTATATTACAAAACCAAGTTTTTTCTCATTAATGTTATAACAAAATAATGTCGAAGGAAATGACAGTTTTACAAAAGGTCCTTTTGTACATAGCTTCAGTTAAAGTCACAGTTTCCAAGAACCTATCGACAATGTTATGTAAAGACATACTGTCCTTGGAAATTCAGTTAAAATTCAGACATTAGATCACTGTTGTCAAAAATATGGAAATTAAATATTTCACTCATTTTGGTGATGAGGTCTAATATCAAAACAAATGTTATCATTTATTTACAAGCCAAATTGAAAAACAGATATAATTTAGGTCATCTAATCAGTATTCATAGCATCAGATACCTTCAGTATTTAAATTTACATTACATACTCAAGAGAAACAGGTCATAAAAATACCCTAAAAATTTTAAAATAACAACCAAAAATAGAAATATCCACTTTAAAAATATATTTTAGGGATGATTCATTTCCCCAAGTCAGGCCAACAGGTGTAAAGATGATTTTAATCACTAAACAGCATTGCTCTGTTAATCAACTGCACCTGCATAATTAAGTCTTTTTTATAAACATTTTTTATGAATACCATACTAGAAACAGATAAGATTTCAAGTAAGATAAATGAATCTTGAATTAGCAATAAATGCTTTTGTGCCATCAATGCCTATAATTTAGAACAGAAATAACTAGTCTACCTGTAGGCTACTCAGCACACACTCAATGCAGTATTAGTGTCTTTCCCTCTCACTCACAGACTTTAAGTGACCAGTAAAAGGCAACATTAGTACACTACAGCATGTGTTTTGGTTATAAAGTGATTGGAGTACATTGGGCTTCTTTTTTTTAAGTGACTAGAGCATATATCTAAATGGATGCTGTACCTCAGAGATGAACCCTGATGAAACTACATTTATTCAACAGGTTAATCCTCTTTGCACTTCTTTTCAGAACTTCCTTCTTAGCCAGTTTTATCACATTCACATAACAACAATGCACCACCACCATCATTTGTTATTGCTTTATGGTTGCGTTTTTTTGTTGTTGTTTTTTTTTTTTTTTGAGTCAGAGTCTCGCTCTGTCACCCAGGTTGGAGTGCAGTGGCATGCTCACGGCCACCCCAGCGTTGACCTGCTAGGCTCAGGTGATCCTTCCGCCTCAGCCTTCCAAGTAGCCAGAACTACAGGCATGCACTAACATGTCCGGCTAATTTTCTGATTTATTATAGAGATGAGGTCTCGCCAAGTTGCCCAGGCTGTTCTTGAACATGTGGGCTCAGGCAATTCCCTCACCTCGGCCTCCCAAAACGCTGGGATTACAGGCTTGAACCACCACGCCCAGCTTTGCATTTTATTTTTAACCCAGTCTCATTATTCACATTATAAATCAAACTTGGTTCATTTTTGCCAGCACTAAGAATGCCCAAAAGAAAATGCTACCAGTCTGATGGCAAAAAGAAAGTAGGGAAATGTTCTGAACAATCAGCATAATCTGAGCAAGTATAAAATCTCCCATCAGGCCAGATGTGGTGGCTCATGCCTATAATACCAACACTTTGGGAGGTAGAGGCGAGAGGATTGCCTGAGCTCAGGGGTTTGAGACCAGCCTGGGCAACTTGGTGAGAGCTTGTCTCTACAATAAACCAAAAAATTAGCTGGGTGTGGTGACATGTGCCTGTAGTTCCAGTTACTTAGGAGACTGAAGTGGAAGGATTGCCTGGGCCTAGGAGGTCAAGGCTACAGTGGCCATGACCATGCCACTGCACTCCAGTCTGGACAACAGAGTAAGACTCTGAGTAAAAAAAATAAAAATAAAATCTCCCATAAAAGCAACTTTGAAGCCGGGCTCGGTGGCTCAGCCTGCAATCCCGCACTTTGGGAGGCTGAGTTGAGTGGATTGCCTGAGCCCGCGGGTTCAAGACCCGCCTGGGCAACTTGGCAAGACCTCATCTCCACAATAAATTTAAAAATTAGCCAAGCGTGGTAGCGTGCACCTGTAGTTCCAGCTATTTGGAAGGCTGAGGCAGAAGGATCGCTGGAGCCCAGCAAGTTGAGGCTGAGGTGGCCGGGAGCGGCCACTGCACTTCATTCTGGGCGACAGAGTGAGACTTCAACTCAAAAAAAAAAAAAAAGCAACTTTGAAGGGGGAAAGATTTCTACTATCTTCTGTTATTTTTTAAAGCACATGATATATCCTGTATGTCATGGATTTAAGGTACATCCTTTGTTTGATGGAAGAGGGACAGCAGGTGCATTCTAGCAGTGAGTTGTGAAATATGTAAGTCATCTCCATATACTGATGGCATCCTACTAATCAAAGTTAGTAGCACCCAGCTTCCTCCAATAATTGCAACTGTGCCAGGGCCAATGGGATCGAGCACTTTCAGGGAAAGCAACAGTTCTTCTACCACAGCCATGTCAGAGTTCCTTTCCTTTTTTATTGAAACATGATTCCCCCAAGGAACTGCGTTAAGTTTAAATCCTGATAGGAAGAAAACTCTCAAGAAAAGACTCCTTACCTTTGCCAATGTGGAAACAGGAGCATTCTCCATTGTGGACATTCCCACACCCCAACACCAACTCTTCTTGAACAAAACTTACACGTGCCCTGGCCATGATGTCTCCCTTCTCCCTGGGAACCTGGGGTGCCCATGCAGCTCCCTGCTCCCCCACACCACAGCACAAGACTGCCACCTGTAGAACCACTGGGCCCATTCCATACCACCAGGGAGAGCTGCTTTCTGCAGGTATACCCTGAGCTTTCTGTCACATATTTTGCCTGGATACACAGGTTTGATCCTCAGTTTGAGAAATGCACTGAAGATGACTAAAACGGGACAGCAAGAACAGGAACATGGGCTTTCGTTCTGGCTACTTGAGTAAGCAACTATGGTTTACAAAGCATTACAAAATACACGGCATTTAACTGTGACATTCAAACTGCACTTCCTGTTTTATCCCAAGGAGACAGGCAGACAGGCCTAAAACACCAAACCCACTCGAGATAAAATGATTTTCTAACTCTCCTTGGGACAGCCTGCTCTTGGAGGTATGTAACTTCCCAACTGTTATAGCATTAAACACTTGAAGCATTTGACATGGAATCTGTTCTAAGTTCATTTCTCCTGGCATGTCCAACCTTCATGTGATCACTTTTATTCTAGAGCAAACAGCTGATCCACCACTGATCAGAGCACACTCCAGTGAGTCTCTGTTCATTATCATGTATGAAAGAGAAAGGTACAAACCATCCAGGGATCATGAGACAGCGCAAAGGACAGATAGCCTTTGCTGGGACCACTCATCTCAACCATCACCGACTGGTCGCCTCTTGTGAAGGACAAGAAGACACAGGCAGCTTCGTTCTCCGGGTCACAGTGCAAAGGACTCCGAACACAGAACTTCTTGTTCCCACAGTCTAAGGCACTGAACTAGAAAATGACAGAGAAGGAAAATCTTAATTATTGAACAAGTAGTCCATTGCCAGTGACAGAAAACTAACTACTTTCAAATATGGGTTTTAATGAGAATTCCTCTTTGTAATAAGGATTCAAACAAGGAAACAAAAGATGCATCCCAAATTAAAAGTGACCAGAGCAGTAGTTAGGCTATGAACTTTTAAACTTAATTCATTTTAATTAACATGTAGAAAACATAACACTAGTTGGACTGTAAAGCATTTTACATTGTGTGCCAAAGCAAAATCTCTAGTAAGTTTTGAGAAACTTCTTAGGAAACATTTAAGTCCCTAAGACTTAATTGACACTGACATTCTTGCCTAAAAGCCATCCTCTAGTTCTCAAAGATGAAATTTGTAAAAGCAAATAAACAAACCATTAGCAAGTTGTTATATTTAAATCTTGGATCCTGCTTCTAGAATTCAGATTCAAATTTGATATTAAAATTATATAAGAAAAATGGCTACCCCAAAATATACCACCATTCCAAATAATAGTAATGATTCAGTAGTTGTGAAAAAAGACCTTCTTGATGAGGAATATAAGCGAAAGAGTCTTAAAACACATCAGCTCTACAATTTGACAGAGTGAACGAATAGCCCTTGTTAGAATGAGCTGTGACCTTATGTTTCAGAAGAGAGCTAAACACTCTGTAACTAGGTTTAATGGGAACATAAAGCCAAGTTACAGTAGTGTGAAGAGAACAAGCCACTAGGAACTAGGAAACTTGAACTTCGATCTCTGCTCTTCCCTTCACTCCATCCCATCTCCCAAAAAACTTACCCTCTCAGGATCTCTTCACCCTCAAGCATACAACAGGAAAACTGAAAGAAACAGACCCTGAGACTCTTCTAACTCTAAAAATGCTACAATTTTAAGACTCTGAATTACCTCCCTATAATTAGAGATCATTATTAAAAGACACATTAAAAGCTCCAACAAGAGCTAATGCCTTTCATATTAACATTTGGAAAGACAACAGTATTATCCATAGATTCCCACTGGGTAGCTCAGGTCAATCAGAGTGTTTATGTCCCTAAAGCAGCTTTTAATAAATAAGCATTAAGATGAAACTGAGAGCTAATATAAATAACAGATCTAATTGTGTCATCAAACAAAAGTGCAACATTCATAATAATGTAATTGAATATAATGTCCATATATTATAAGATGCTTAAGAGAAGGAAAACAAAATAGGACATCACAGAGGAGCAAAGTGCTTTTTTTAGACTTCTCTACGTGAACAAAAGGAGATGTACAAAAGGAGAAGAGAAAGCAAAGGAACAAATGTTTACTCATTATGTACTAGGTGCAAGACACAGTTAGAAAAATTATCCTCATTATTTTATTTAATTCCCACAGTGACACTAAGAGCAAAGTATTATTATTTCTCATTCTAGGGGTGAAGAAACCGAGATGTGGAAAATAAGTAATTTGCCCAAGGATACATCGAAATCAGATAAGTCAGTATTCAGGCCCACTTTGTCCCTTCAGCTGTAATAACCTGCCTCAAGACACTTTCTTATTATATCCACTTCAGATTTAAGAAGTCTAATTTACCAGAATTTCCTGCAGTAAAATCCTTCAACCTAATGTTTCTAATATTCATTATCCTTACCAAGATACATTTTCTCAATCATAAATCCTTTGGATCAGAGGGCCTATGTGGAATCCTAGCTGATGAGCTTGCAAGAAATGTTCTGTAGTTCAGCAAATAGAACTCTCCAGTATATTCTGACTTTAACCAAATGAGACCTAAGGGCTATATCACCACTTCAGGACTCTCCTCCTAATCTTGTCTAGAATTAGCTTAAGCTCCTCTCCATGCCTGATACTTGGCGGTATTTAAAAAAAAAAAAAAGAATGCTGTTGCTTCATCAAATTTATTTTCAAATGAAAACACTCCATTGCTAGTACAGATCATATGTGAATGTCCTATCACACCCTGAACACACAGGGGCTTGCATTCCTTTTATTCTAACCTGAGTCATAATGCTGCAAGAAAGACTTACTTCACATTCCCACAGAGAACCCAAAATCTTGCTACCACACTCAGTACAGCTATGATGCACTTTGTCCCACAATGTGCATGAAATCACAATTTCCACCCACAAATATACCTCTTTGCTCACATCACAAAAACTAAGCAAAGCACTTTACTCCTGTGTAATGTCTTTTGTTTTCATTCTCTTCTATATTTTCTAAACACAAGAACATTATACATGACTACACGTGATTCTAGATTGCATTTAGTGAAGCTACAAAGATGTTACTTACTGGTTTGGTTAAATGGGACGCTGGAGGTAACGTTGACAAAGACATAAGTGTGGCTGTAGGTGTTGTCAATGGCGGTGCATTTGGTTGAGAAATTGTAGGGCCAGGAATCTTCACCCAGTAGATTTTATACTTCTCAACAACTGTGACTCTGAAAGATAATCCCAGCGAGATCAGAATCCTGATAGTGGCCCAACACAATCAAATACAAACTATAAAGGAAGAAAGTGGGGGAATAAAGCAGGAATAAAGCATGGTGGCATACAACTGTAGCAGTTACTCAGAAGGCTGAGGTGTAAGGATCACCTGAGCCCAGGAGGACAAGACTGCAGTGAGTCATAATCATGCCACTGCACTCCAGCCTGGGCAACAGAGTGAGACCCTGACTCAAAAAAAAGAAAGAAAAAAACCATTTCCCCTTGCATGTAGATTAAGGAAGAAACGCTTATTTTAATTCTACTGGGTTTTGTAATTCCGAGGGGCATGTAGGGTTTTACTTTTCTGACAATCTAACCTACAAAATGAAATTGCAAAAAAAAAAGTCATCTAAGACTTAGGACTTTTATTTTTATCTGCATACTAACATAGAAGCAAATCTAAAAGTATTACTCCATACAACATAGAGATTCAACTATTAATTGATGGCTCTTACTACAATTAAGGCAGCACAATACTTCATTCACTCAACAAATGTCTACTAAGTGCCCACTAGGTGCCAGGTCATATCCTAGGTATTGGGTATATACTAGTAGAAAAAACAAGTAAAAAGCAAAACAACCTCTTCCATCAGTAAGGTGGTACCGTTACTATATCATACCTCTCCTATACAAGTAAATGTCCAATTGACAATAACACAGACTGCTGTGGTTTCAATTATAATAGTTACAGAGTTGTAAACCCTTAAACTCACAGAAACTGTATGTGATTCGGAGCACTGCTTGGAGCATTCCAGTAGACTTTAATTTCTGTTTTTTTGGAAGGATTTGTGTGACTCACAGCTGATCCCTAAAATAAAAGGAAAAAGAAGTGCCATTCAGCAACTCAATAGCCTAGCGTGGATAGAACTACCATCATTTTGCAAAGTAACTTATCATTGCATAACCTTGGCATTCTGGTGAAGACTATTTCATTTAGAGCAAGGACTCAGGTACTCAATAAATGATATGTTGATTGCCTGGCAACAGATTTGCAGCTGACTCTGTGAATAAACTAGAGTCAGCAGAAACCTAAGAACTCAAAAGCCATTAATACTAGATAGAGCCTGCTCATCATTCCATGTGCACTACAAAAGTATAACCCCTCCACCAATAGATGCAAATCAAATGCAGAAGATTCATCAAAAGAAAAGAGAAAAACGTCCTGCCTCCAAAGATGTAGCATAATATTTTAGTAATTCCTTTCCCTTGAACAATCTTGTTTCCCACTTTCAAGCACCTGGCAAACTCTTACACATTCTTCAAGGCCTAGTTTGAAGATCCCTTCCTCCTAGAAGCATTCTCCCAATTCCCTCCAACAGACAATGATATAGACCTTGTGGTTTTAAATATAATAGTTACACAGTTGTAAACTCTTATACTCACAGAAACTGTATGTGATTTGGGGCATTGCTTGGAGCATTCTAGTAGAATGCTTCCTCTGTTATGCTTCCCACTCACCCTGTGTATATTCAAATCAACATCATCACACTGTTCTACTTATATGTTCACATACCCTATGTATGTGTAAAGCCAGAACTTCTTCTCTTTTTTTTTTTAATCAATATTTTTTATTATGGTTTTGTGGGGTACAGTTAAGGGTTAGGTGTACAATTACGTTTCATTCAGGCACCCTGTTGATAAGAGGTGTTTCCCCATCCCCAGACAGATATTTGCTACTGTTAATCCTATCCTCCTCCCCCCCCATAGTTTCCCAGTACCATCAGTCATTTTCTTATAGTATTACAATGGATGTTCAAGGTCCATTATATGAGTGAGAACATGTGATACTCGGATCTTTGTTTCTGTGAGAGGTCACTCAGTATTATAGACTCTAGTTCCATCCAGGTTGCTGCAAAATTCATGATTTTGTTCTTTTTTATGACTGTGTAGTATTCCATCGTGTATATGTACCACATTTTTTTAATCCAGTCCTCTTTTGATGGGCAGCATGGTTGTTTCCAGGTTCTTGCTATTGTGAACAATGCTGCGATAAACATACGTGTGCAGGTATCTTTTTTATAGAGTGATTTGAGTTCTTCAGGGTATATTCCCAGTAGGGGGATTGCGGGGTCATATGGGAGGTTGATATTTAGAGCTTGTAGAAATCTTTAAGGAACAAGATTAAGTCTTGTCCATTGCTACCAGGTCCCTTGCATCTAGGACCATTCTTGGTATAATAAATTAAATGGATGAAGGAATAAGTGAATGAAAATAAATAGACCTCTGTCATACTCCAGAGCTCTATCTTCAACATTAAAACCCTTCAAAATTCATAAAATAAGAGTCAATATTATATAAAGCATCACAAGCTATAAGCTCTCCAAAATACTGTCCTACCTTTTCTAGGATGCTAATGTGTAAAAACATATTGCAAGTAGTAAAATTAGGAAGAAAGTGTCTAATCATTGTGAATCTATCTAAATGTCTGCAATACAGCATTAATGTCATTGTTTATCTTGCATCTATCAGTAGTGAAAAGATTAAAAAATAAATAACTGACAGCAATTTCAAAATACATTTGGCCCTCAAACAATCCTGATTTAAATTGCATGGGTTCACTTTTATGTAGATTTTCAATAAAAGTGTTAGAAAAATTTTTGGAGATTTGCAACAATTTGAAAAAAACTCAAACTGAGTAGCCAAGAAAGATTGAAAAAAATTAATAAAAAGCTAGGTATGTCATGAATGCATAAAATATATACAGTACCAGTCTATCTTATTTACTACCATAAAATATACACAAATCTACCATAAAAAGTTAAAATATATTAAAACTTATGCACACAAACACTTACAGACCATACACAGTATCATTTACGGTCCAGAGGAATGTAAACAAATGTCAAGATGCAGTATTAAATCACAACTGCATAAAATTAGTGGTAGCACCTACTGTACTACAGTGATAATTTTGTAGTTACCTCCTGTTGCTATTGTAGTGAGCTTGCGTCCCAAGTATCTGCTTAAAACTCCATGTGACCCTAATCATCTCCATGTGAGCAGTTCACCTCTCCAGTAAATTGCCTATCACAATAAAAAGTGATCTCTCACAGTTCTCATATATTTTTCATCGTGTTTTATACAATGCCACAAACTTTGAATGACACCATGGGACCTACACAAAGTGCTGCCTGTGATGCTGGGAGTGCTCCCACAAAACAGAAAAGTCATGATGTTACCAGAAAAAGCTTTTCATGTACTGTAGATTGAGTTCTGCAGCTGTAGTTGCTGTCATTTCAGAATAAACAATTCCAATCTATGGACCTTCATAAAAAAGAAAATTCATGAAGTCATCACTGCAGTTACTCCAGGACATGTGAAAACCCTGCACTTTTTATGAAATATCTTTTTATCTCATACTGAAAATGCAGCTTTTATGTGGATGCAGGATTGCTAGAAGAATGGCATACTATAGACTCTAATATGATTCGAGAAAAAGTGAACCCATTATATGACAATGTAAAGCAAAAGGAAGGTGAAGGAACTAAAGCTGGAGAATTTAATGTCAGCAAAGGATAGTTTGATGCTTTTACAAAGAAGCTTGGCTTTTTAAAATGTCAAGATAACAGGAGAAACAGCTTCAGCTGACCAAGAGACAGCAGTTGAGTTCCCAGACACCATGAAGAAAATCCCTAAGGATGAAGGACAGCTACCTTAGGTTTCTAATGCAGATGAAAGTGCCCTATTCTGGGAAAAAATGCCACAAAGAACATTTATTAGTAAAGAAGAGAAGCAAGTACCAGGATTCAAGGCAAGGAGGGAGAGGCTAATGCTACTGTTTTATGCAAATACCACTGGGTTTATAATCAGGACAACCCTTATCTACAAAGCTGCTAACCCCCTGGCCTTGGAGGGAAAAGATAAACACAAGCTGCCAGTCCTTTGGTTGTACAATGAGAAGACTTGAGAACAATGGGAACCCTTGATCTGGACTGGTTCCATTGAGATTTTGTCCCTGAAGCCAGGAAGCACCTTGCCAGTAAAGGACTGACCTTTAAAGTTCTTCTGATCTGAAACAATGACTCTGGTCACTCAGAACCCCATGAGCTCAACACCAAAGGTCTCCAAGTGGCCTACTTGCTACACATGCAACATTGCTAATTCAGCCTCTAGATCAGGGGTCACAAGACTCTCAAGGCTCATTTCACTCTATGGAAAGGATTGCCGACACTATGGAAAAGAACCCTGATAGAACATCATGAAAGTCTGGAAGGATTATACTATTGAAGATGCCATCCACGTTGCAGAAAAATCATGAAACCATCAAGCCCAAAACAACAAATTCCTGCTAGAAAAAAAACCCATCTAGATGTTTGCATGACTTCACAAGATTTACAACAGTGTCAGTCAAGGACATCCTAAAAGAAACTGCGAATATGGAAAAAAAAAAAAAAAAAAAGGTGGTGATGAAGGGCTTCAAAATGTGAACCTTAGAGAAACTCTAAGAGCTAAAGACCCTACAATACAGGAAGTAACCTAAGATGGCATAATGGAGATGACTGCCCTCGAACCACTGCTAGATGATGAGGAAGAAGATGAGTCCGGAAGCAGAGCCCAGAAGCAAACTGACATGAGAGAGCCTGACAGAAGGTTCCAATTAATCAAGACAGCGTTACGACTTCTTTTAATGACATGGATCCTTCTGTGATATGGCACTGAAACTAAAGCAAATGGTGGGGAAAGGCTTAGAAGCATGTAGAAATATTTTTAAAGAAATTAAAAAGTCACACAGATATGACAATGGATTTCTATAATGTCACACTGAGTTCACCACCTCTCCTGTCCCCTTCCACCACCTCTACCACTTCCTGCCCTGCTCCCCCTTAGACAGCAGGACCAACTCCTACTCAGCCTACTCAACGTGAAGACAGTGAAGGTGAAGATCTTTACGATGACCCATTTCCACTCAATGAATAGTAAATATATTTTCTCTTCCTTATGGTTTTCTTAATAACATTTTCTTTTCTCTAGCTTATTTTATTGTAAGAATACAGACTATAATGCATATAGCATGCTAAATATCTATTAATTGCTATTGGTAAGGCTCCTGGTCAACAGTAGGCTATTCGTAGTGAAGTTTTGAGGGAGTCAAAAGCTATACACAGATTTTCCACTGCACAGGGGTAAGGATCAATACCCCCAACCCCTGCATGGTTCAAGGGTCAACTGTAAACACAAACCTGTACATCTTCACAGGTCAAAAGCTGTGACACCTGACTGTCTTTCAATGTGAAGGAGCCAACAGGAAGACCATTCAAATCCTCAGCATCACGAGTTTCTAGAAGAAAGCCTTTAAATGGTCGCCCTGACAAAGTAACTGAGAAACATACAAAAAAAAAAAATAGGTTAAAAGGTTTAGCAGCATCCCAAAAAGTAATGTTCAGAAGGATGTTTAGAGGAGGCACCTCACAGTTGGAAGCACGTATACATACACAAAACTGCTCCTGAAAAGGCTAGAAATAACCTATAGATTAAGAAGTTCCAAACTGTGTTCCATGGGATATTCACTCCCTGGGACATCAACAGTCATTCCACAGAGGGCAAAAAGGCTGGTGATGTGATGCTCAGGGACAGTCCACAAGACTACATTAGTTTGAAAAACACTAAATGAAAGTAAATACCTGTTTCTTGGCTGCAAATTCCTTGGAGTGCTTAATATCCTACTGTACAATGTAAAACTCTAAGAGGAATATTACATATCACATAGAAAACTTCAAACTTATTTTTCCATACATCCTTTTTGTTAGAGAATATCTATTAATATTTTGTATTTTTAGAATTACAGAAAATAAAGTTTGCAAGGCTGGGGCATGGTAGCCCATACCTGAATCCAGCACTTTGGGAGGCCAAGGCTGGAAGAGTGCTTGAGCCTAGAAGTTCAAGATCAGCCTAGGCAACATATCTAGACCTTGCCTCTAAAGAAAATCAAAATTTTAGCCAGACACAGTGGTTCATGCCTGTAATCCCAGCACTTTGGGAGGTCAAGGTGGGAGGATGGCTTAAGCTCAGCAGTTCAGTATCAGCCTGGCCAACATAGTGAGCCCAGGAGGTTGAAATTTGTGCCACTGAAATCCAGTCTGGGTGACAAAGCCAGACCCAGTCAGAAAGAGAGAGAGAGAGAGAAAGAGAGAGCAAGAGAGAGAGAGAAAATAAAATTTGCAAAATGCTATTATATTTATAACTATAACAATCAGCCTATATTTTGCCTGAGGAATCAGGGAACTATCAGAGATTACATTATGTCAAGAAGGATAAGCGTTTATTATATTATAAACAAGATAAGATAAACTTTATTTTTTCTGCTATTGAGGTAATACAATTAATAAAGATATATTAAATAATATTTAAAACATATTTTAAAACCTGTCCTGAATGGGTAGTATATTAAGTAATATAGTCATCTGTAATCGTTAAACCCAAAATAGAAACTATCTAACAATGTGATCACACCAAAAAAAGTAAACAGATTTAAAGTAAATGGCCTGAATCCAATAATAATAAAGATTCAATGAAGAGTAAAAGAGTGAAACTCAAAATGTACTTAGTTAATCCCCACACAGTACCTTCGATCTGATCTCCTGGTCTGAATGTCATCTGACTCACTGAAACATTGTGAACAGGAACAGACTGTGGACTATGACCATGTTCAGGAATCATTCCGTGGCAAGACCTTGTTACTCTTCCATTGGGGTAATTGGCCACAGAATTAATGTGCAACAGAAACACGAAGGCACCAAGGTTCACTCCGGGGGCTGCCATCTCAAAAAGAAGATCAAAAGTACATTATTTTCAGAGGTAACTAAAGTAAAATCAAAAAGCCTTTATACCACAAGACTGTAATTCAAGATAACTACTTGCCTTCAACGTTCAGCTAAAATACAAAAATAAAATAAAATAAAAATTTAACTTAATTTAATTTTTTTAAAAAACGAATGTGATATGTGAAGTCTAACCTGTATTTAAATCTCGCTCTACCAACTACCAACTGTGAGGCTTTGGGCAAATCACTTAAGCCTCAACTTCCTTGCCTGAAATATGAGAAAACTAAGACTCTCCTTTCATAGTTCTTTTAATAAGATGAAAATATAGCCCAAAGTCTGACAAGAAAGATAATAAATGATAGTTTTAATTCAAACAATTGGAAAATAATAAACTAGTCCAATAAAAGTGAAAAATTTTACTCCACTTCATCCTAGAAAACTTAAAGAACAAATAAGAAATGTTTCTTCTGGATTTAAATGTCATCACCTAAATAAATCTCTAATATGACTTCTCCCAACTTTTTATGAAACTAATTATAAGGATGGGATGAATCATTTAATTTGCAATACTGAAAACTGAGGGATAACAGACAACCAATTGCAAGAGACAGTAGTTCTATTACCTATAGCCCAGCTACTTCTGAATTAAGAAATGCAATTGCCAGCACATGCAATCTTCTTCCTCCATCTTCCTCTCACCATGTGGATAATAGAAAACCAGCTACTTTATGTCAGTCTCACCTTCTCCTGGCCCAGACCAACCACTTCACTTGATGCATATAGTCAGAACCCGCAAATAACAGGACTTGAGGCCAGCATTAAATGGGTAGGGACATGCTTCATGGTAGTAAATAAAGTTCATACTATGGACAGGTTGCACATGGGAAGAGTCTAGAAGCATTTTATTCTGCATAGAAAAATACTTTTGTATATTATATATCTGGTCATAGACAAAAACAGCCTTGGAATCATTAGAACACATTGTTGTCTTGCAGTGACAGAAATCAGGAGACAATATTTAACCAAAGCCTCAACTACTGGGGTTGTATCAGAGTCTAATTGACCTGGGGAAGGAAAATACCCAAATCTAGCCTGCTCCAGCCTTCCACGTTGAGGAAGGGAAATAATTCCAGCCCTTCTAGCCTTCCATGGAAGAGAAGGGAAATACCCAACTCCAGTCCACATTAGTCATCTTGCTCTGCCTACATGGGTAAAACAGAAAAGTAGCTGTGAAGTTCACACTCCAGGAGCCTAGGCTCACTAACAGATAGAGGCTACTCCAGGTATAGAGAACACACCTCCTCCCCCCACTCCTTACCACCACATTACTAATGACCCATTTACAGCAGTTCCTTATATGTCCAGCTTTGAAAAAAAAAGATAGAAAAAAATTACAAGGCATACTAAAAGGCAAAAAAACACACTGTGAAGACAAGAGCAAGCATCAGAACCAGACTTAGATATGGGAGCAATGTTGAAATATTGAGAATTTAGAACTATAAGTAAGATGCTAATTAATAAAGTAGATGACATGCAATAACAGATAAGCAATGTAAGGAGAGAGACTGAAGTTCTAAGAACCAAAAAGAAATGCTAGGGATCAAAATTACTTTAACAGAAATGAAGTGTGACTTTCATGGGTTTATTGGTAGACTGGATATATCTGAGATAAGAATCTCTGATCTTGAGGCTGTCTCAGTAGAAAATGCCAAGCTGAAAAACATAGAGAAAAAAAAGACTGAAAGAAACAGAATATTCAAGAACTGTGGAACAACTACAAAAGGTATAATATACATGTACAGAAAGTCTCCTACATATGAACAAGTTCTGTTCCAAGAGCATGTCAGTAAGTCCAATTTGTTTGTAAGTCCAACAAAATTATCCTAGGTGCTTAACTAACACAATCAGTACCTACTAACATACCGCTATTATCACCACTGCTTTGACACTTGCTTCTGGACATCCTGAACTTGAAATAAAGATACTTGTACTTCTGTACTCCACACAGTACTATACAGTAAAGTACGCAAAAGCACAACCATTTATAGAGGGTGCACACACATGACAGTGTACACCAGATACATGAACTAACTTAGATGATTAGACATGCGAACACACATTCACATCTTTTAAAGTTTTCAGCTTGAAAGTTTGTATGAAGGGGACTTATGGTAATAGGAATTCCAAAAGGAAAAGAAAGAAAGGAACAGAGAAATATTTGAAATAACAATGACTGAGAATGACCCCAAATTATTATTAGACACTAAACCACATAGCCAGGAAACTCAAATAACAAGTGGGATAAATATTTATTCCCCCACACCCCACCCCCCAAAAAAACTACACCTACCCATATATGATATTTAATTTATGTGTCAACTTGACCAAGCTAAGGACACTGTGATAGCTGATAAAGCATTATTTCCTGGTGTGTCTGTGATGGTGTTTCTGGGAGAGATTGGCATTTGAAGCAGAAGACTGAGTAAAGATCACACTCACCAGCATGAGTGGGCATCATCCAACCCATCAAGGGCCCAAATAGAACAAAAAGCAAAGAAAGGGCAAATTCTTTCTCCCTTCCTAAGCTAGGACATAGCTCTTCTCCTGCCATCAGACATCAGGGATTTTGGTTCCCAGGTCTTAAGATTCAAGACTACACCACCAATCCTCTACCTACCCCCAAGGCCTTCAGACTCAGCTGGGAGCTATACTGTCACTCCTTAACTTTCAGACTTTCAGACTTAGACTGATGTACACCACCAGCACATTTCAGATCTCCTGGGCTTCCATAATCACATCAGCCAATTCCCATAATAAATACATAAAATATATATAATATCAATAAAATCTTATTTCAGTCTGTGAATCTGGAGGGCTCTGACTAATACTACATAAAATCAAAGGTTTAAAAATTTTGAAAGAAGCCAGAGGAGAAAGTAACTTATCTAAAGAGGAACAAAGATAAGAACTATATCTGACTTTTCTTCAGAAACTTTGCAAGCAAATCAAGAGTGGAGTGAACTATTTAAAGTGTTGAGAGAAGACAATACCAACTTAGAATTCTATATCCTGAGAAATTAATCCTTAGAAGGGAAGAAGAAATGAAGACCTCGTCAGACAAACAAAATTGAGGAATCTGTTGCCAGAGAATCACCTTGCAAGAAATGTTTTTTTAAAAATTATTTAGAGAAGCCAGGTGCTGGGGCTCACGCCTGTCATCCTAGCACTTTGGGAGGCTGAGGCGAGAGAATTGCCTGAACCCACAGGTTCAAGACCAACCTGGGCAACATGGCAAGACCTCGTCTCTACAATAAATCAAAAAATTAGCAGGCATGGTGCTGCAAGCCTGTAATTCCAGCTACTTGGAAAACTGAGGTGGAAAGATCACCCAAGCCCAGCAGGTCAATGCTGCAGTGGCCATGAGGGTGCCACTGCACTCCAGCCTGAGAGACAGCGTGAGACTGACTCAAAAAACAAAAAGACAAAAACAAAAAACAAAAAAAACTTTAGAGAAAAAAATTATAAAGTTCAGAAACTCAGACCTACATAAAGACAAAGGGTGTTGGAGAGGGAATAAAGTGAAGGTAAAGTAAAAAATTTTTCTTATTCTTATTATCTAACATGTACAGTTTGTTCAAAATAACAATGTATATAAGCATTTATACATACTGGGGTGCCAAAAATGCATGCACATTTTATAAGTGATGTTGAGAGACATTCGCCATAATCAGAATTGTCTGGATGCTGACAGTAACCACTTTGAACACCTCTTGTAATTGCAGAAGTCAGACATAACTTGTGTTCATTTTGCTGAGTATTACAATTTTAATAGTTTTTTCCCTTCTTCAAATGTGTAAATATTTTTTGGCACCCTCTGTATATACATATATACTTACGTATATATGCACATATGCTTCTATATCAGCACAATAAATGACAGCAATGATATAAAGAAAAGGTAGGAATTAGGATTATTTTATTATAAGGTGCTTGTACTACCTGGAAAGTGGTACAGTATTATTTGAAAGTGGTCTGGGATTAGTTATAGATATATATTGCAAATTCTTCAGGCAACCACTCCAAAAAGTTAAAAATAGAAGTATAACTAATATATTAATAAAGGACAGAAAATTGAGTCATATAAAATGTTCAGTTAAAATCATAAAAGCAGCAGCTAGGCTGCTGACATCTGTAATCTCAGCACTTTGAGAGGCCAAAGCAGGAGGATCGCTCTAGCCCAGAAGTTTGACAGCAGCCTAGGCAACACAGTGAGACCTCGTCTCTACAAAAAAATCAAACAATTAGCTGGGTGTGGTGGCGAGTGCCTGTAGTCCCAATTACTTTTTGAGGCTGAGGTGGGAAGACCTTCTGAGTCAAGGAGGTCAAGGCTGCTGTGAGCCATGATTGTGACACTGCACTCCAGCCTAAGTGAGATCTTGATTAAAAAAGAAAAGAAAAGAAAAGGAAACCACAAAAGGCAGAAAAAGAATGAAAGACAAAAATAGGAACAAAGAACAAGAGCTACAAATAGTAAACAGTACCAAATATGGTAGATAATAATCCAACTACAAGCATACCTCCTAGATATTACATGTTTGGTTCCAGACCACTGTGATCTTAATAAAGTGAGTCGCACATTTTCCATGCATATAAAAGTTATATTTACACTATTCTGAACACTATTAGGTATGCAACAGCATTATGTCTTAAAAACAATTTATATGCCTTAATTTTAAAGTACCTTCTTGCTAAAAAATGCTAATGATCCTCTGAGCCTTCCATGAGCCTTCCATGAACCTTTTTGCTGGTGGAGGGTCCTGCCTCAATTTCAATGGGTGCTGACTGATCAGGGTGGTGGTTGCTAACGCTGGGATGGCTGTAGAATGTTCTTAAAATAAGATGACAATGAAGCTGGCTGCATCAGTTGCCTCCTTTCAGGAAGGATGGAACTCTCCCCAAATCATTTTATGAAGCTAACATCACACTGATATCCAAACCAGGTAAAGATACAAAAAAGAAAGAGAGCTACTGGCCAATATCCTTAATGAACATAGATGCAAAAATACTCAACAAGATTCTAGCAAATCAGATCCAACAACACACCACAAAAATCATCTACCATGACCAAGTAGGCTTCATCCCTGGGATGCAGGGCAGGTTCAACATCCACAAGACCATAAACGTAATTAAATATGTCAACATATGTAAAAATAGGAACCACATGATTAAATCATTAGATGCAGAAAACGTTTTCAATAAAATCCAGCATCGCTTCTTGATAAAAACCCTTGAACACCTAGGCATAGAGGGAACATACCTCAAAATAGTAGGAGCCATGTACAGTTAACACATAGCCAACATATTGCTAAACAGAAATTGGAAGAATTTCCCCTGAAAACCAGAATAAGACAAGGCTGCCCACTTTTACCCCTCTTGTTCAACATAATGTTGTAAGTCCTAGCAGAGCAATCAAACAAGAGAAGGAAATCAGAGGTATCCAAGTAGGGAAAGAGGAAGTTAAGGTATCCCTCTTTGTGGGCGATATAATTCTATACCTTGAAAATCCAAGAGAATAAAAAACCTTCTTGCACTGATGAAGGCCTTTGGCAAAATCTCAGGTTACAAAATCAATGTGTAAAAGACAATAGCATTCTTATACACCAACAACAAACAGGCAGAGAACCAAATAAAAAGTACAATCCCATTCACAGTTGCCACAAAAAACATGACATAACCTTGACATCTTCCTAACCAGAGAAGTGAAAGATCTTTACAATGAAAACTACAAAACATTGCTCAAATAAATCAAAGATGACACAAACAAATGGGAAAATATCCCAGGCTCATGGACTGGAAGAATCAACTGTTAAGATGTCCATCCTACGCAAGGGAATCTACAGATTTAACACAATACTCATTAAATTACCAGCACCATTCTTCTCAGACATGAAAACAACAATACAGAAATTTATATGGAATCACAAATGACTTCATAATAGCCAAAACAATCCTCAGCAAAAGAAACAAAGCGGGTATCACACTTCCAGACTTTAACTTTATTATAAGGCTACAATAATCAAAACCGCCTGGTATTGGTACAAGAACAGGCATATAGATCAAATAGAGATTCCAGAAGCAAAACCTCAATTTCTCAACCAATTCATATTCGACAAAGGCTCCACCATCAACTACTGGGGAGAAGAGAACTTATTCAGTAAATGGTGGAGGGAAAACTAGCTAACCACATGCAGAAGGTCAAAACAAGACCCCTACCTATCACCATACATAAAAATCAACTCTAAATGGATCAAAGACCTAAATGTAAAACCTCAAACTATAAGAACCTTAAAAAATGCAGATGACACCCTTATGGAAATTAGAACTGGAACCAATTCCTGATCAAAACCCAAAATGCCATGTCATAACAGATAAGATAGACAAGTGGGACCGCATCAAACTGACAAGCTTCTGCAAAGCCAAAGAAACCATTGCAAGAACAGGGAGACAGCCCTCAGACTGGAAAAAATATTTGCCAACTGTATATCTGACAAAGGCCTAACATCTAGTATCTACATGAAACTCAAACATGCCAAAAAGAAAAAAAATAAGCAGTCCTATTAAAAATTGCAAAAAAGATATGAATAAACACTTCTCAAAAGAAGACATATGAGCAACCAACAGATACATGAAAAAATGCTCAGCCTCACTAGTCATCAAAGAAATGCAAATTAAAACCACATTGAGACACCACCTAACTCCAGTCAGGATGGTCATCATCAATAACACAAAAAAACAACAGATGCTGGATAGGATGCAGGGAAAAGGGAACATTTCTACACTGTTGGTGGGAGTGTAAACTAGTACAACCTCTGTGGAAAACAGTTTGGCAATTCCTAAAAGATCTAAAAATCAACCTCATATACAACCCAGCAATCCCCCTTCTGGGAATATACCCAAAGAAACAAAACATTCTACAAAAAATGCATCTGCACATGCATGTCTATTGCCAC